TACCCAAATGGGAATGATCTTATTAAGTGATCACCAATAGTTCACCCATTACGTAGGTTGACGCAGCTATGCCAAGTGATGTCTTTGGGACTTAGCACAGCTCAGCTTTACGTGCTTATGAACTGCGCGTTTCAAAAGACAGTGGGACTAGCACCTTTCCGGAGACGAGGCCAAAGAAGTACTATATTGCTGATTCTTCGCTGAGACATCGTACGAACCAGAGGAGCAGTTTGTAACCCAATAGCTTTCAAGAGGGTGGTTACGGCAAGACAGAGTTCAGAAAATAAAAGTTTAAAATAAAAAGATTTTTATGAAATTAATAATGTTGAAGAGGATAGACAATGAAGGATACGTTTCAAAGATGGGACAGGAGTTCTGTGCATGCTTTATATTGTGGCATAATAAAATTTGAATGCATTTTAGCAATAAAGCGTTCTACTTGCGTTATAATACCACATACATACCTTCAGCGTAATGCAAGTTTTAAAGAGTCAAATATTTAAGAAGCTAACAATCATAAGATTTATAGCATTTTGGTTATAACATTAAATATCTTAACGTTTCACTGAATGACAACATGCTGGGGCGTGGAAGGTAAAAGTATTTTATTTCAGACAGTGGCAACAAGTTGCATTTAAGTAGTTGAATTTATTGATTAAAACTGAAAGATAAAAATTTTTCAATTTGCCGAATGGTTCACTAAAGGTAAAATTTATTTCCAGCAGTATTGTCACTACTCGCTTTCTATTTGTTGAATTTGTTAAACAATTGTTTGTTAAATTTGTACAAAAAATGAAATAAATAGAAAAAAAATTCAAAATTCAAAATTCTGGCAAATATGAAAAAGGAAGTTGTAGAAGCCAGGAGGAATTTAGGAACAAGAAATATTTGAATATAAGCAGCTCTTAGTTCTTTACATTCTCCTCCCACATATAACCAAAAGCGCCTGATGGAAGACAGGACGCGTCCTCCCGTCAGGCATCATCAGGTCGTCAATTTGTTAGTCATTATTCTTAATGAATGATAAACCACTTTTCATTTCGTATGTCTTATAATTAATTTAAGAGCATTTGTCCCTTACTGGGAGTTAAATAGGCGTCATCGGCCTGCTAACCGTTGCACCACAAAAGCAAATAAGAATATTTTTAACTCGGAGCAGAGTCAGACAGAATAGCATTGAAAGAAGTCATATGCAAAAGATGTAAAAAAAGTGTAAACAGTTTACCTTTCCAGTTACAGTTAATGTTGTAACTGTAACTAACATTAACTATGTGTTCCCAGTTAATGTGTTATTTGCCACTCTGTATTTCAAAATTTCAGAAATAAATCCATTTGAAACTGTGCTTAAAGATGGAATAAAAATGAAAATTTGTAATTAACAGCTGGTTTTATCTGTTGTTATTGTTCTGTGACTTATCTCACTTGTCTGACAGTAACATCAGAACAAGATTATGAAATTCATCGTGGCAAGGAGAGCAAGATTGCTCCTGTCTTCGGCTAGAGTCTTGAGCATCCTACATGTGACAGAACGACTTCGCTCAGTTCCGCCCCAATTTTGATGGAGAGCATCCCAGTGGGACAACGAGATCTTTCACTCCTCTTTCCCTACCACCAACCTCTCGAGAGGACTTTCGGCTCGCCATGTATTTAGAGTCTCCTCATGCCGCAAAGACACTATACATTTGCAAACAGCCATACCTTCTCCGGGATTCGAGTCCGGGCGATTCGGTATCTCTTAACCACTATATCGGGGTCCCTTAACCACTATATCGGGGTCCCTTAACCACTATATCGTCTGCGCGGCTGGTTTCATCTATGGATTAGTAATATATTTGAACTCGTACTTAATAAGCAGTTTAAAAGTTTAAGAAATTATATCTCTTTCATAGCACTGTAAAGTTTATTTTATATAAAAGAAGTTCGGTAAACCATTTAAAAAACAATTTTAGTGTAAATGTAGGAGTCTACCAAAAAATTCTATTTGTTAGCTTTAGACAGAAAAGAAACAGATTTGGAATTTTTTTCCCGCATAACTGCTATTAGTAGATGACATTTTCATACAGTGCATTAAAAGGCTATCAAGCTTTTATATGTTAAAATGTATTGTTCATAAATCTTTTCAAACCTTTGAATTATGAATAACTTACCTTGCCACTCTCTGCTTTATTTGCCTTTGCTTTGCAAATAAATCAAAAACTTTAGAACGGTGTCATTAGCCATAAAAAAGTTAGATTAAAGAATATGAAACTGACTGAAAGGCTAAAATATACTAGAGAAATTTATTGCCATATTTTTTGACGTTACGCGTTTGAAGAGATGAAAGAGTTATTTTTCCTTTTAAGCTTATGTACATTAGCTTAAAATGTCGAAGATTTAATAAGATTAAAAAGACAAGATTTAATAATTTATATATATATTTTATTATATAATAATTGGCTTTACTTAATAATCCTCCTTTCATGGAAGTGAATTTTAAGTTTACATACAGGCATTGTTTTAGATAAAGTGGTTGAAAATAAAACATAAAAGCATGAACTGAATAACTGTGAAAATTTTCAATTTATTTACAAATTATTTAATATATTAATTGAACATTAAAAGCAAATATTCAGTTGACTAGCAGCATTAACGCGGTTCATTAAAACCGTTTTAATGGTTTTAATTAACCATTTTAATGTTGCTACGTAGTTTTAATGTAGCTAATTCATTCTGCACATTAAAACGGTTGTGCATTTTTATTGTACATTCATTTAGATATATCTAAATACGCATTTCCAACTTTTAGTGAAAAGCTGCAATTACACTCTCAACTGAAAATTAAGACTATATATTTAACCAAAAAAGCAATTATTAAAGCAATCATTTAACACGAAACCAAATGAACACATAGAGAATTCAGATAGAAATGTTCAGGTTATCAGTGCCAACTAAATATAACTCCATTACACTCAATTTTACAAAATATTTAATGTAAGTCATCGAAATGTAATATCATCTGTATATAGATTGATTTTTTTAACATAATTTTTGTACTGTTTAACTTGGTTGTACATTTGCAGTCCTAGGCATCGCTGTATAGGCATCGCTCTTTCATCTTTTTATAATTTAAAAAAATTTTTTGGATGGCATAAAAATTTTTTTCGTGTATAAGTTTTGAATTTGATCTTTTTGTTCAAGTTTTTATGTTTTACTACAGGCATGTCGGGAAAAGGTTTAACTATTTACTTAACTATTGAGACATAACTATTGAGACATAGCTAGAAAAAGTGAATTAAGTTAATAATTTTAAAATTGATTACCGCTTTCAGCCTCAATGTTTGAGTTCGACGAAACGTGCCTATGTCATTTGCTTAGTTAGAGATTTTGGGTACTTTTCCCTTGCTAAGTTCTATCTGAAGTCTCGTGCTAAGTGAATGGACCATTTTTTCAATGTTTTTGGTTATTTTTTCTTTGTATTTAATTTGTTTTAATTTTTGAAGCGCACCAAAATTTGATTTTGTAGTATAGGTTTCTAAACAAAATTTTTTTAGTATTTTCAAAGTGCAAATTTGTATTTTTTTCTTTAGTTTTCTTTAACTTTGTTGTATTTTACATAGGTTTTTTTCGAGTAAAGTTTAACTACTTTCATTTAGTTTAATTGTTTTTAATGGTATTTACAAGTAAACGTTGGAATTAGCTGTCTCAAATGAACTGTAAAGCTTTAGCTATTTTTTAAAACTTTAGCTTTAGCTGTCCTTTTCATTTAAATCTTATTAGATAATAAACTTACATATATAATAAATATATATAAGTTAATATAATAAACTTAATGTATAAACAGTTTATTATATATAAATATATATATATTATGAACTGTAAATTGTATGTATATATATATTATGAACTGTAAATTGTATGTTGTTACTATATATATAATACACTGTATGTACATGTGCGTACCTACATATGTATACACACTACGCTCACATGCATATAGATAAGGGAAAGTCACCTCAACTTGGCCATCGCCACAGTGAGAATAATCATAACTTGATGTGCATAAAGCATTGGCACTGCAGAAAGACAGTTAAGTTCATGGAACTTAAGTTTTAAGTTCTATGGATAGTTCACGGTACTTAAATTTATATGGTGCAATTATTTTCATAAAGAAACATCTCGTCGCTGCAGCTACAGTCTGTTACTTTAAAATACGTACTTGATTTTTTCTTCTCATACCATGACAATACCATGGAAACGACTGCTGCGGGGGAAAAAAGGTAAATCCTCTTATTTATTAAAATTTCTAGATTTCCTCTGTGTTGTTCCTCTGTGTTATTTCTAGATTTCCTCTGATTACGGCACACGTCTCGATCGTAAATGATGGAAAGGTAGCAATGACCGCTAAATGCATATTCTAAAATAACAGACTATAGTGAAGTATTGGTATTTAAAAATCCTTGAATTAAATATTTTAACGAAAGATCAACAGTTTGGAGATATTTTTAAAACAGCAAAATACGTTACTATATCTGTAGAAAGCAAACTTGTCTGCTTACATTTGACTGTGATAGTTTTATTAATGTAGTTCAAGCATAAAATTATGGGAAATGTATTTAAATATTTATAAAAGTTGCTTTTGAATCATAAGCAGTCATCTGAATTGGATTATATAGTTCAGGGAATGGTCTAATTTCTTATTAATAGTTCGAGCAAAATATATCTACCTGAACCACTAATTTACAACCTACTCTATTTTGCAGTGTTCTGTTAACCTTGCTGAATTTAAAATTGTGATAAATGCTGTAAATCCGTCTAAAACAGCAATCGCTATGTCTTCAAATGAGAGCCGAAAGTAGAAATAATTACTTCTATTGCTGATACGTGAACTGTTGAAATAGATATAGAGCATACTTTTTACTTTTCAACTCAGTAATTGTTATGTCAGAAAAGTTCATCAATGTTATTAAAACACTCATGTGAATTTTTCAAATGATGAATATAATGACTTTAAAGGAGTTCAGTTGTTTTATTTCGGAAAATAAGTAACATCATCAAATAATATTTCTTAAAGAGATATATGTTTCTTTGGTAAATAAAATTTCAGTAGTTTATAGTACAGTTGTTCTAAATCAAGATCTTTTGTCCAGTGTTCATTGTTCAAATGTCCTAAGAATCCTCCCAACTCTGATGGCAAAATGTTTGGTGATATAAGATTATGAAGTGTCTTCCATTCAATGCTCTTGTGAAATATTATCTGTAATATAGAAAACATTTTTTTGCATTATTCTATAATTATCGGTTTCAATTGCTTTAAATCTTTTAAGAAAAATTAATGACTCGTTATTACGAAAATTTCTTGCTTTGTTCTCTCAATTGAAATATACTGACAAACAAAACATTAAAACAGCTCTGATAATTATTATATACTGACATTCTTAAACAAAGAACAAACAATAAACAGACAAATACCCAGATTTCACGGAAGCACATGAGAATTAAAGAAGTTGGATACATATGGTGATCTTAACAACTTTCATGAATAGTCAATTCAAGCTTCGAAATTTTATCATAAAGGCAATACTGCTGCGCTGAGCAGTCATTGTGCACCTCTTAAAATAAAAATCACACTAAATTGCCCAAATTAGTGCAGACTGACTAGTATGAACAATAACAGTGATGCAGATAATACCAGTACCTAAGCCCAGAAAAACGTTGGAGAAAAATTGATAGATCATGTGCTACTGACCTAGGCTTCAGAAGCCTAACTTTTACTCTGACCTTCCAATTGAGCTCTTTTCTGACACTGTCACTTAGTTTTGCGTCTGTCTTTAGAGGGCAAAATTAAGCTGCGCGATCAGACAAATCCACTTGACAGATGCAACTGACGATGAAAGGATATGAATCTACTATCAACAACATGATACGAACCATCCGTTTTGAAAACTGGCTTTGTTTAAGGCGAAGATGCCTTATTGAAGACAAAGGTATCTTTCCCATAAAGTACATGAGAATCCTTAGCATGATTGCCACCTGTCCGGGTTCTACCTGGATTCTGGTTTAAACTAAAACTACGGGGCCCTCCAACGACTGAGCCCTAAAGTCAGTGAATACTGGTAGTTCGGTCCGAGGTTCGAATGACGCCAACGGGCTGGTTGCATGGGCGTTTTCTCTATGGGTAACATGCATACGAGCTAGTTTACCTCAGAAAGTCCTTCCCTTAGGCAGATAGCCCTCGAGGCTTTCCCGTAATTGCATAAACCAAACCAAAGTAAATCTAGGAGCTCATGTTTCACGAATTGAATCTCCAGTTGAGTAGTAATTTTTTTCGTGGGCAGATTATATCGGGAAACTAAATGATAAAGTCGCATTATCTTTCAACGATGAAAGGAGTGTCAACCTTTTAATATTTTTGGTCGGCTGGAATCGGAAACTGCTTAGAATTTAATTCGTTTCATTTGTTGTTGTGGCGTTTGCAATTGAAGTGCTGTTCAATACCGCTCAGCAAATATGATTTGAGTAACTTAAGTACCAGAGTCGCATGCAATACACGATGACACTGACAGCCAACGTAATTGGCGTTAATATTATTGGTTTCCAAACTGTTGTGTATCGTTATTAATATGTATACTGTATGCACAAATGTATGTTTGATGGAGGATAATGAGTTCCAGTTTTTAATCTAAATCAAATAACGCCTACTATCGCTCTGGACGCTAAACCTTATTTATGCGGCCTTTATATTCGCAGTCATTAATGATAGATATATACTTTTAATCACAAAAATGCTTAAATAAAAATATTTCAAATGCTTATATTTTGACACTTATAAACTAAAAAAAAATAAAAAAAATCAATTATGCAAAAATTACGAAATCTAACTTTCAAAATGGTATCTCGTGCCTATAGTTATATTTAGTAAAAGTTTAAACTTCTAAAAGGTAAAACACAGAATATTGGTTCACATAACATCAAAACTAACCGAGATATTTAATTTTAAAACTTCATATCACATTCTGAGATATTACGCAAAGTGAAGGACAAAATGTTCACGTACGTAACTATGAACAGTCACACCGCTCCTCTTACAATAAAAATCAGCGAAAATTCATCAAGCTGGTGCAGACTGACCAGGATGAATGATAGCAATGATGCGTTAAAATATCTGTTTAGTAATAAGTTTCTGACGTTAATAGATTAAATAAGAGCTCTTATATGTAGATAGTGAAGGAAATATTTGATAAATATAATTTTTTCGAAAAGAAAATCTTATTCATAGAATTTATAGAATTTATTTTATAGAAAAGAGTAGCTAGTTTTAGTATTGGCACATCTTTGATTTCTAAGATCATTTGAACAAATGAAATATTTCTAGTTCAATGAAGTTTTGATACGATTATTAGATCACGATTCCTAAATAATATAAATATATGATGATATTAATAATATAATTTAGCGTTTAAAAACTTAAAAAATACTTAAATAAAAATTCTTAAGGCACATGATATGTAACAAAATTATTAATTAAAAAATCTGATGTGCACACCACATGACTTCCTTGTACGGAATATTAAATTATACGCATTTTTTCTCGCATTTCATTTAAACTTATTGTATTGAATTAAATCTACTTCTCCGATAGCGCATAAATCACAATAGAATAAATGCACTCTTTAAAATTCACTATATTTGTTTACCATAGCGACACACTGGCGCTAGGTTTACTTAACAGCGCTGTATTTCGTTCATATTATAACTCAGAATGCACAAAATTTATATCATTTAAAGAATTATCTAATCGTTGCCGCATGTTCTATTCAAATGCTATAATAAATCTAGAACAATGTATAAAAGAAATTAAGCAAACAAAACCAAAAAGTAACAGTTTTTCACAGACGATTTAGTATTTCTCATTCAGTTAATTCAGTTCTCACTTCGCGACAAGGTAAAAATACATAACAACTCAGAATATCTACATTAAAAATTACGAAGTAAATCTTAAACACTTATTTCCTCGAAAACATTCGAGAAAGGATTAAGCATGATTTAACTCGCAATAATAAATGAAGGCGTTATTTTTGTTGTTGCAAAGCTTAGTCACTCTAGATTGCCAAAAAATCTACTCTTCTGCTGTTTCAAATGTACACAAATATGTCCGCCATGTTATTTAAATATTAGGCTTAACCGCACTTAAACAGCTTTTAAATTGTTGATAATTGTACAAATATTGCTTGCAGACTTACTAAAGGCATAAAAACCTTAACCTGGAAGATAACGAAGAACATATTATTCAATCATTTTTAAAGCAAAAAAAATGCACAATTTACAAACATATAAGAGTAAAGAAACTGAACAGATCAGAACTGAGCTGGGTAACAGAGTGGATATACGTTTCGTGCGACTGATTGCAACCAAACTACGAGGTGCCCATCTACATGTTATAGCAGTCTGACATACAAAATTTCAACGTTCTGAGGCTACTCGTTTACTCGTGTTTGAGTTATGCGAGATACATACGTACATACGTACGTACGCACCTACGCCACGAAAAATTCTCTTCAGAATTTATTTTAAATCAGTTTTAAAATTTTTTGGGGGAAAGAGTCTTAGTCTGTTCTTACGTACAGATGTCCCGCAAAAACATCGTAAATTGCGTTCGGTCAAAATTGATATTTTCGTTGAAATATGCTGCCTGAAACTTTTCGCGATTACAATACTTCCTTTTTACTTCGTACAAGGAAGTAAAAATATACGCTAGCATGTCACAGAGGAATATCACTACTGAATGAATGAGAGAAAAAAATAATCTCCAAACATTCCAACTTATTTTTTAACTGAGCACTCAATGCAAGCCAAAAATGAAGTGAAAAATGCAAAATTTTGAAATTAAATATATCGGTTAATTTTTGTCTTACGGGAGTCAAATTTTGGACTTTATTTTTATGATTTGTACAAATGCTTAATAAATATAAATCAGTATAAAAGATTAGATTTCTTAAGTTTACAAAACATAAATATTTACGTGAAACCAATTTGCATAATTGTTTTATCTTTTTTCATAATTTTGTCTTTTTAAACCATTTCAGTAAACATAGAAGATAATAAATTGTTTTGTTAACTGTAATGGTTGCATTTAGTGTTTTAATGATTCCAGAACTAATAGTAAGATACAGCACATTAAAAAGTAAGATTTCGTATCAAGATTAGACTAACAGTTGTATATAAATTCGCTAGCATTTGGTCCAATTAATTTGGATTGGATTGGATTGGATTATTGTAATTTGGCACAAAACCTGTCAAGGTTATCTGCGCCAGACAAATGGTAACAATTCAATTAGTCATTTGTAAAAACTTCCAGCTTAGGTAAAAAGAGACAGATTACAATCTATGATAAAAAAAAGCTGATACCTTTTAAAAAACAGGTTAAAGTCTATTATAAAAGCCAATATCTTTTAAAAACAGAAACAAATTACGATGATGTGTTTTTCCAATTAAATTTTTTAAGTCCAGTTCTGAACAATTAAAATGTTTTGGGCGAAAATAATTAAAAACTCTGGCATTCCACCAAGATATGATGGACTGTCAGATCTGCATTGCAGTTTGGGCAGCTGGGATTCTCTTCTCCCTTCAGAAGATACTCATGGGTCAGGCGACAATGGCCAATTCTCAGTCGAGTCAAGAGGACATCCTCCCTTCTATTAGCCATACATGGCCAGTATCCAATGGTGGGTTTTACATTTCTCAGCTTGTTATATACTTTGTCATCCCATTGCTTCTGCCATTTGCTGAGGAATTTTGCTTTTGACAAACCTTTGATGTCTGCTAGTGGAATCTGAAGATTGTACATTGTGGTTGCAGTTTTAGCTGCAATATCTGCCAATTCATTCCCCTTAATGGCAACGTGTCCAGGGATCCACGAATAAAGAATCTGGTATCCCCGAATTTTTAAAGAATGATTCAACTTCAGGATTCTGATTGCAACTGGGTGAGTACATTGAGCGTGATTTTTCCAATGACATTAAGGCACTCATGGAATCTGTGTAGATAATAAATTTTATGTACTTTTGTTTTGAAAGGTAAGTCAAAGACAGATGGATTGCAGTAAGCTCAGAAGTAAGCACAGAGCAAACTGTATGTAATCGAACCCCCACTATTGTTTTCTCTGTGACGAAAGCGGCCCCAACATGATCCTGGGATTTTGATCCGTCTGTATATAGAGGGCTATATTTGTTTCTATGTTAAAAAAAAAATCTGCTT